GACACCCGCAATTGTTACTCCGTAGGCCCATCTTTTGATGTTGCGATGCCTAAATGGACAAAACGTCGCATGCATACGATCTAAAGAAATAACTGCTTTCAGCAATGCCTGCTACAGAGGTGAGAGGGAGCCACATGCTGACCATGGCAAGCACAATAAAAGGTTCCCATTCCTGATTAGCAATAATAGAGCCGATTGGGAATAATTCATTTCCAACTTCGCAACCGTAAAGAAGGGAATGAAATACTATATCGAAAGTGCCCATTCCTCCAACAAACATATCAGCCACGGTCAAGTTTATTACCAAGTACATGGCACGAGTGCGAAGAGTACTGTTCTTTACAAAAAGAATAATTGACATAGGGTTCTCTGCAATCACAACAACAGTTATAGTAAGGAATACAGCATACCATGTGCTGCACTCGGCTGAAGAGATCATCCTGGAGATCATTGTTTTCTTTTAATTCTCTTTTCTCTTCCCTTCGATTCAGAAAGAAATCGAATAAAGTTTGGTTAGTTGAAAAAAGGAAGTTAGGAGATCAACTAAGAGTGTTGACGTCGACTCCTTAAATGTCCAGAATGGAGATTGCAACCAGCAACCTTTGCGGGTCAATAACCCAATTTTTGATGAACTGTTTTTGTATTTCCGTAGTATACATACTGTACTTGTAGGACCTTTCTGTATGTACGAACTGATCGACAATATTTGTTACCGTCTTTCTCGATAAATTAAACTGGTGTACTACTTGGAATGGTTTCGAACCCTCTAACCATTTGTCTGCAGTAAATCATTTCACAGGCCTCACACGGTAACCCTTGCCCTGTTTAGTAAAAGGATTTGGGTTCATTATGTTGCAGTTTCCTGGTTTTAAAAAAATATATGAAGTTATGAAGTTCAGTAGTACCAAAGTTGACAAATACGTCTCAAAGTTTGCAATTTGATTTCCAAACTTGCAATTGTATTGGCTACTTCGTAGTACCCAATTTGCCAACGAACTTTGCAACGTGGTGCAGTAAAGGCATGTGAAATCAACTGTAATTACACGTACATGTCCGTATCGCATTTGCTATGAAACTTGAGAAATTACTTATTAATCACAGCTTTGTGTCAACAAACATGTCTCCCAAGCATTATATCAAACATTAAAGACCACAAAAATGAAATCTGAAAAACTGTTAGGCTAACAAGTTTCAAAGGGCCCAATTGCCATCCTTTTCAATTTTTTAAGTCTGTCCACCTGTTACCTAATAACACCAAAAGCAATTTTTATTTGTACTCACTCTTGCTCTTTGCTTTGTTACTTAAACCTTCTTTTCATGTTTTGAGCAGTGTTTTTATGTTTTACCGAGATTGGGGGTGGTTTACACTGCTGTAGTTTTGACAAATTTCGTGACACTGCTCCTTTAAGTTGCTAAGTACTAGTTATTAATCAGTGGTTAAAGAACCTCAGATTTGGTACCAGGGCAGCTTACCTCGTCTTGCAATCTGTATTCTCCATCACAGTGTTCAGTCTTGGATGCCCTTAGCACAATCAAACACTCCAAATTTTCAAATTATTTTTGCCCATCACGAGATTTTTGTCTCACATTCTGCTCAACTCTGTCACAAAAGGGTCGCTTTATGAGAGAAGCGATCGATTACTGAAGGCCAATGAGTCGACAAATGTACATAACAACCCTTACATATCTTGTGGTGCAATCGAAAAGCAAAAATATACAAACTTCACGCTCCTAGAACCTACAAAAGCTGGCAAATCTGAAGCTGTTGCAATCACTTTTAAAATGGACGCCAAAAAGAACGAGCGCAATGAGCATGAGCAAAAGAAACGTCCGCTGACCAGCACTTCGCTCTGTTCTAGGCCCCATTCTCCCCATTCTCTCTTGTTTTCTCAGTCTAAGATCATTTTATTTTTACACCAGTACTGATTGAGATTATTCTGGCAAATATCAACAGCCGTTGGTATTCTTTGCGATTTTAATCACTTAGAATCGCAAACAGTCGTAACTTCGCGCACTTCACAGTCGTTGCATCAATGCAACGCGCGCGAGGATTAAATGCATGAGAACCGTTTAATGGCCCTATCTCGAGAGTAAATTTACTTTTATTCACCTTGATTGTACGCAAAGGCAAAATTTCTGAAACATTTATCGTGCGGTCTTGGACATGAGTTTTTAAAAAAACGTCACCGGAAACATAACGGAACAAAGAAGGAACGGAAATGTGATAACAGAAATGTGGCGGAAACATGATCGTTCGTTTCCGACTCGGAAACCTAAGGGAAACGCGTCCCGTCCATGGAAAACTAGATCACGATGCTTCCGCAGGGAGTTAACGTGACGGATTTAAGCAACTTCACGTTTCCGTCAAGTTTACTAAATAAGGAAACACGTTATTTCGTCTTAAGTAACAACACGGGAAAATCATGTTTAAATAGTAAATTTATTGAATTCTCTTAAACTGGTTAACTTTACTGACTTAGAAACAAATAACAAGCCTAGTATAAAGCAGAAGTTAAGGTACACTGAACTTGGCTTCATTGGCTTCTTTTTACATACTGTTATATTTCATCAATGACCACATACGTATTAAACTGTAAAACATCCCTACTTTTTGCCTTTGTTAAGAACGCGCGCGCGAGCGGTTAATCGAAAGGTGGGAAGGTGAAAAAGGGCGAGTGATACTGGGCCTACGAGAGTGTGAGGCTCCTGCGCTTCGCGCGAAATTCTCAAGCCTGCCCTTTGGGCCTTTGTATTATCGATTATGAGGGGAAAAACCGACTTTGTTGCAGCTTACATACGAAGTAGTACTTCACAAAGTAAAAAAAGAAAAAATACACTATAAAACCGTGTATAACAACTAATTCGAAAAATCTTAATGTATAATATTAATAGGCTATCTCTGAGTCACCCCAAGCTTCTGTACGTTTTTAAGCGAAATGATTGTGACAAAAATGACTATTTTTAGTCCCATGCAAATGAAACTTATTATCACAAAAAGGATTTGCACTTAGCCTTGCTTGGAAAGTGAGGGTTTGTGGAACTCGAAAATTGCCTGTTGATATAACGCATATTTTGTCTTGATTAAAAACATTGATTACGAAAAGATAAATTAGCTAAATACAGTAAAACCCGCGACTAAGAACCTGCATTAATAGGTTCTCATTTTCCGAAGAAAAAATACGTTGCATCCAGTCATTGCTTTTGTAAAACCCGCCTACCATGACATTGCAGTTGGAGTTATAAGGCTTCTATGTTTCCAAAGAGGACCCCGAATGTTGACATATCTTACTTGCAAAAGTGCACAGATTTATTTTATGGATTTTTAGTAAAATAAGGTCCTGTTTCAAATTTTAGGCTATACCGGTTCTTGTACAGAGGAGACTTAACTGGTGAATTTTAGCCTCACATTTTCTTAAAAACCAAGTTCTTAGTCGCGGGGTTTTACTGTAGTTAATGTAATGTTCAACTAATGCGCTGTGAGTGATTTAAACAGTTTCAAAAACGTTCCCTTAGTATTTTATTTCAATGGGATTCTTAATAATGCCTTGAAAAAGGAAAAAGCTGTAAAAATAACAAATGCTACATTGGTCAAATACTATGCAAATAGATTGAACAACCCAAGTTCACAGCCCCAAAGGAGGGAAGGGGGGGGGGGGCGGGCTATGCAACAAAGTTTTATACGGGAAGGGTCCGCCCCGTGGACCAACCCTTTACCAGCTTTTATATACCATTTTTGACAGAAAAGGTACGCCTTACTGGGAAATAATACGCCTTTCACATACCGAATAAACACTGCATCCCTTTAACTGTTGTAAATCACTATCCTTTAAATATGAAATACTAGCTAAACAATACCTGAAACCTGAAAATGGTACCCCGTGTAGTGCATTGTACAGAGTACCCCCCGGGTTACACAGTTTTTCAAAGCGTCTATCTGCCTTCGCAATACCGCTCTCCAAATGAAAGAAATTTCAGCAGTTTGATGATAATCGTACACGAGGAAAAAAAATTGCTCGAGGAAAGTGTTATTTCCATTGGTCAATTTCTCAAGTTCATTAGACAATAAGCATGCCCACTGAATATTAACGAGTTAATATTTAATGGGTTTTTTAATTGGTTAAAGGAGCTAGTACGAGGATATTGCTGTTTTAGGTCCATCTTTGCTCCCGTAGAGTTATGAAGAAGATATAATAGTAATAATAATAATAATAATAATAATAATAATGACAATTTTTTTGGATAGCATTAAAACTTGAAAACGTTAGCTCAACTTTTTCAAGTCAATCCATATTCATCCTTGCCAATCCTTTGCAACAACAACAGGAAACGTTTTCAACGCTTAAATGTCATGTAATGTAAAAAAGTTAAACAAAACTGGACCATTGTTTTTGGAAATCAATTGATGAGAAGAGACTGTTTATCCATTTTAAAAAGATATTAGCAAATAGCGTGAGGTAGCCCCTTGAAATGAGTAACACCTTCTGTATACGTATTTACAGTCTTTTTAGAGCGATTTTCGTATGACCTTGAAATGAAAACACGCGAACAAAACAGAACATCAAACGAAAGTAAATAGAGCGATTTGAATGGTTTATCGAACGGATACAAACGGGAATGGCTTTTGGTTGGTTAAGCAAGCGTTAGGGTGAAATTAAAACCTTCATGCCCGAGAACTTTCCAGAAATCAATGATACTTCGCTTTGACATCATACTGCAACTTGACTGGCCAATCGAACAATGTCGTCTGCATATTAGGGTTTTCTTTAGCAGGAAAACGAAGAGTCCATGTTTTGATCTTTGATAACACAAATAACGAACACTTAGCCGAAACGATTTTTCGAGGCCATAGGAAAATTGCTCTATCGATCTAAAGTTAGTAATAACACAATGCATTAAACTACTATTTTCAAGAGATTTTGTTTCATGCAACAAAACAGCAATAGTTGACATAGTTGACTGGTCATCATTTGAACTTACAATAAAGTGTTAGACATGGTAAATTAACGGGCTTGAAGAGGAATAGCAGCATTTTGTCTTTGTCGACGTTTAAATAATATCAGGAGAGCTCTTCTGAACTCTGGCATTCTGATTGTGTAAATAATGGGATTAACAAGCGAGTTTGTGTGGTATACAAGAGTAAAAAAAAATCTCAAGCGTAAATGTGTCAGGAAAGAAAATCTAACTAGACCAGAACGGAGAACAAAAGTATATACAACAAATGGTAACCACAGCAGCAAAGATACAATGGTCATTATGAATAATGTCACAGTCAGTTTTCTTTGTCTATTGGCTGCACCATGTGACGGAGGATGGGTTCCACACCAAAATTTTAAAGCAATGGAGGTGTACGAAACACAGATAACAATAAGGCAAAGGCAGCAATATGAGAGCCATAAGTACCAAGGAAATAGCAATTGCCACTGTTGTTGCAAGTTCCCATAGAGACGTATTAACGGAAAGGGAATTACTATCATAGCAGATAAAGTCCAGACGCCCGCAATTGTTACCCCGTAGGCCCAATTTTTGATGTTGCGATGCCTGAATGGACGAAACGTCGCATGCATGCGATCTAAAGAAATTACTGCAATGCCTGTTACAGAGGTGAGAAGGAACCACAACCCGGTAACGGTAAGTACAAACAAAATAGGTGGCAATTCCTCCCAGATCAAAAGTCTATTTCTAGGTTCGCAGCCGTAGAGGAGGAAATAAAATACTACAAAGAAAGTGGCATTTCCTCCAACAAACATATCAGCCACGGTCAAGTTTATAACCAAGTACATGGCACGAGTGCGAAGATTACTGTTCTTTATAAAAAGGACAATTGATAGGAGGTTCACTGCAACTACAGCAACATATATAGTAAGGAATACAGCATACCATGTGCTGCACTCGGCTGAAGAGAGCATCCTGGAGATCATTGTTTTCTTTTAATTCTCTTTTTTCCTCCCTTCAGAAAGAAATCGAATAAAGTTTGGTTAGTTGAAAAAAGGAAATTAATTAGAGGGTGGACTAAGAGGACTGAAGTCGACTCCTTAAATATCAAGAATGGAGGTTGTACATTGACAACAATTCTTTAATAGAGTGCTCACCTTAACTTTAATTTCTTGATACTTTTGTTAACGTTGAAATATACCCCTTGCTTTCACCTGTGGAAAGAAAAAATCAAAAGCAGCGGTTGAAGGGAGTGTAAGATGAATTGGTCCGAAAACTGAAGAGAAAAAAATGTATGTGAATTTTAGCTGTTATTGTTGGCGCTCATTGATTTGCAGGTCACTAAGAAGTAATTGATCACCTGGTAGAAAGTTCATTTCACTGGGAAGGGGGGAGTACTCAAGAAAGGTTTATACGGGAAGGCTCCGCCCCGATGTCCAGCCCTTTACCATTTTGTATACCATTTAAAAGTACCCCTTTCACATACTTAGTTTGGAACTTTGCATACATTTTAACTGCTGTTCTGATCCAATGTCCTTTAAACTATGAATAAATCACGAAACAAGAACTTTTTTTTTATTTTGTCACAGCCATAAAATACATTTGCTAACCCTTCGGGCCTTTTTTAGAGACCGAAATGATAGATTTCCCTATCCTTTCATATACTTCAGCTAGTATACTTCTTTTATATAGCTGAAGCCTAAATAAGACATTCCTTTAGGGTGGAGCCTCCCCGTATAGGCTATTGTAGGGAGTATCCCCCCCGGTTACGTTTCAAGAATATTTCTTCCATTAAACTCGAAGTCATTAAAAAATATTCACAAAGAGACTTATCGTATCGCACACTAATTGTGCCAATAAAAGTCAATCAACTTCCAAGTTATCGTACCTCGAAGATATCTTTAAATGAATATTAAAAGAGCCAATGATTAAAGAAACTTCATCTAAGCTTCTTTGGTATACGAAATACGATAAAGAAGTTCGCTAAGTATACTACAACCCTTCTGCCCACTGCAACGTGCAACGATTAACCAAGTTATTGACCGAACGGTAGGCCTGTTTTTCAGACCTCCCATAGTGTAAACAAGATACAATTTCTTTTTTTAATTTTGCCAAACCTTTCAGAAAAATTGTCGCTGAGATAAACTTGTCAATATGAACTTTTTTTTTTTGATGACTCCAGTACGTAGAACGAACAAATTTTTTTATTACAGCCTCTCAGCCTGTGCCGGGAACTAGGTAAGGAATGTGCGCGCTTTCCTGTTCATGGCGGGTATCGCCATTATTTACGCCCTAACTGTCCCAGGCGAGTGCTACCTGTGCTAGCCATTCTTGCTAACAGCTGCTTTCTGTTAGCTTCCTGTAACCGTTTATAGGTTTGTAACCACAATTATTTTTTTATGTCAGTTTCCTGTTAAAGGATAGGGACTTTGAAGGAAACGAAACATATATTTTTCAAAACATGTGGTCAACATCCTGTGATGTTTTGTTCTATTGCATATGTTTGGGTTGTTACTTAGTATCTTTTTACTTATCCTTTGTTGAATTTTTAAAGGCTCAATGATCTAGTATTATTCAGAACCGTAAAGAACTATTTCTCTGGCCTTCGGGTGCAGCAGTTGAACTCTCCTCGCCAATGTAAACATGTGGGTCAAGTTCTTATCACGAAACAGCGAAGTTTTCAAAATCTACACCAACTATCTATCCTGTCTAGTATAAAATCAGGTCTACAATTTGTTGTTTGTACCTTGTGTCCTTGTTTGACTTCATTCCCACAATGAAACTGAGATATGCAAAGTACAGTACAACGAAATTCCCGCTCGCTCGACATGTCACGTGCCACGTGAAAGGGCCGTTCTAGACTTGATTGCGTTACGTAAACACGACAAAGCGATTTTTTCCGAGTTGTGAAAAAAAAATCGATTTCGCGCTTACATGTCGCATTGTAGATATGCTATTGAATGAACCGACAATCTGAATTATTATTATTTTTTTTTTACCGTGCAGTTTTACCAGACTTGTCTGATTCCCGACGAAACCAAAAAAATCTTAGGACCGAAAATTAACGGCGCACATTTTCAAGCCCTAATGTCTTGAAGCCCTGAAATTTTTCCGTGAAGGATCAAATGATATGACACGCCAAAAAAAGAAAAGTAAATGTTTGTGGTTGGTTTATTTATCGTACCATCCGCTGAATTTTACTTTTTCTCATCTGACAGTCTGAACTGCGCGCGGCCAGCATCGTACGCGTGCGGTACTACACCAATCAAATTGTTTTGAATACCCTTTGAAATTCCTACTTAAATCAAGCAACCAACAATGTCTATTGATATTTATATTTTCCAAAGTTTCCTATCCCCGAAGAAATCCCGTGGTGAAACATTTCAAAACAAAAAGGAAATCCCTTTATCATCTCGGTAACTTCAACTCTCCCTTCCCCCTCCTTATTGTTTGCGTTGTTCCTTTTGGTTGTTGGTAGTGGTTCGACACTTCTCCCTCTTCCTCTGTTTTTCCTGGTTTCTGTCAGTTTTGAAATATCCTAATGCGTTGTGCAATTGTATTGCAATATGCTGTATAAGACCAGTGTAAAGCACATGTCAAGTAAGGGCGTCCTACCACGGTCTTAACTTGCGATTGCGGCGTCGATATTGATAGATTTTTGGACCGTCTTGATTTACTAAGTTTACTCTAGGGCTGAAAATAAACGAGTGCTTGTACAGTACAGTGCTTGCTTTTGTTTGGCGATACGTACAGAGTGCAAAAATGGAGCGTTGGGTGGGTGATCAGTGTGGTTCAAGTAATAATTAACCGAGCACACAGTACGTGCGCATAGGAGAGAGCAACCTATCAGTTAAGTGCCACTTTAGAGTCAGTTCTGCATCATGCCATTGAACTTGCGTAGGTGCCTGCACATCTTCGAACTCTTTATAGAAGAATCAGTGTAACACGAGCAAATCTTTATCTCCCCCGCCCCAGGTCAGTTAGACACCTAAGGCTGTAGGAAAAAGCTTGATGACCTAGCGGATACGTGACCACTGATACAACTAGTGGTGTGAGATATGAACAATAATAATAATAATAATAATAATAATAATAATAATAATAATAATAATAATAATAATAATAATAATAATAACACATGACAAATGGTATATATGAGCATTCCCCCAAAAGTGTAGAAGAGAATGAGGAGGTTAAACTGTTGTGGGACTTTACCATCCAAACAGACCGTGAAATTCATTGTGGACATAGTTGTTCCCGGAGATAGTAATATACTGCAGAAAGAAACTGAAAAGTGTGAAAAGTACCAAGACCTGGCAAGAGAGATTCAAAGGATCTGAAAATCAAGGACAAAAGTGGTGCCAGTGGTTGTAGGTGCATTGGGTTCAGTGTCAAAGAAGCTGGCAGGCCACTTGGAGCAACTAGGAATTAAAAACCGAACAAGAACGATGAAAAAGTCGGCACTCCTCGGATCGGCACATATCCTCAGAAAGGTGCTGGAAGTCTGAGGTCTCGGGATGAGACTTGACTGGATATTTCTCCCCAGGGAAAATCCCTGTGCTAAATTTTACATCATAATAATAATAATAATAATAATAATAATAATAATAATAATAATAATAATAATAATAATAATAATAATAATAATAATAATAATAACAACAATAATTATTATTTTTTTTAAAATAATTTATACAATGAAAAAATTTTACTGACAACAATGCTAACTATTAAAATCCTATTTACAATTAATTCGCTTGAAAAAAAGGAAAAAAGTATTCATTCAAAAACACTATTTACAATAATAATAATAATAATAATAACAATAATAATAATAATAAGCAGAGATACAATGGTTACAGGGTTGAACAGTACAACGTAATAATTGACGTACTGGGGGGTTACTCTAAACACCTAGAGAAGTCGGTGAGGAAGCTACTTGGAGCGAGAGCACGAAGCGTACTTCAGCGAATGCAGAAGTCGGTCATCTCAAACACTTTAAACATTGCCAGAACATTTAAGATAAATACTTAGTTAGGGCGCTATGGACTTCAGTTTTTAGGTTTTTGTTTTTTCTCTAGAAATCTAGAAACACAAGCTTGCTGACGTTTTTATTTAGATTTTTTAGAACATTAGAGTGTGATATTATTATAAATATGTTTTTAGTAGAGATAGCGAAGGTTTTACAGAGTATCAGAATTTAATAATATTCTAAATTGGCTTTTTAAGTAGAGAGATTTATATCACTATGTATAAGCTTTTAGTAGAGATAGCGAAGGTTTTACAGAGTATCAGAATTTAATAATATTCTAAATTGGCTTTTTAAGTAGAGAGATTCATATCACTATGTATTTTAGGATTGTATTAGGTTTCGTATAACCTTTTTTGACTTCTAAGTATAGCTTCTCAAGTGGTGTAGGTTACGCTTTGCGCCCTATACTACTCATAATGTGGACAGCATTCCAAAGTTTCATACTGCGACATAATAATAATAATAATAGTCAGAAACGCATATACAGTGCAGATACACAGTAATGCATTTATAGCTCCAGCTTGCAAACCACGCTTTTGAACCCCATTCTTTGCAGATAAATCAGCGTTGGAGTTTTTATCATAATGTTTACTTGCCTATATTGTGACTACAATAATGCAATTGGTGACGACAGTTTAAAGTTAGCCAGCAAGTGCAGTAGCGAGTAGACATGTACTAGCTTAGACCAAGAGTGCACTATCAAAGATTGGTGTCGCAAGGGCAATATCAGACGGTAGCAGGATTTTCTACATGTAATTAGGGACCGGCCATTTGACTTTGACCAGGGTATGGATGATTTCATGGGTTTGCGTAAGAATTTTTTTCCCCCAAACCTCTTGTGATAGCATGTTTTTCCCTGACATACAAAGCTATTCTATGGCAGGTATTTTCTTACAAGACTTTTTCGTGCTCAAAATCAGACTTCAGGATATTTTTTCTGAA